CACAGTCGTGCTCCTGACCACACTCTTTGATAATGCATTCCTTGGGCTGTGTCCTTGACTCTTATGCCAGAAGGTTTATACGTTTTCTGCTAGCACAGATGAGCTATTAATTCTAGTGAAGTGGAAGAAAATTTCCTTATAGGGAATTGAGACAAGGATAATATGGACAGGGTGGGAAGAGATTGCTGTAGAACACGGCTGTGTTTTTAGCCAGAAATATAACTGATCCTACCTGCCAGCACTGTGGTGGATGTAACGCTGCTTTAGGTGGCATTTCCAGTTGGCAGTGCTCAGATGGCAGCAGCATAAGAAGGTGTGCATAGTGAATTTTGCTGTCTGTGGCGCTTGTGCCAAGCAGAGCTTAGTGTCACATCTGTGTGTTACCTCTGAATTGTGCTCCTGTATGCAGTAATTTCTGCTGATGTTTCTCTCTGACGATTTGCCCTGTGCTTCAGCAGAAGCAATGGCTGGCGTTAGCTCCTCTGTGGTGCCAGGAATGAATGAGGAGTTCCTCTGAATCAGGAGGCATTGTATTCTCTATGGCCAAAATTAAGATTAACTATTCAAAATACGAAGAAAATTCTCAGCGAAGAAATATTCTTCGTTATTTTTAACTTAACCTCACACAATATGTAATCCCCTGGCTGGAGATCTACAGCGATCACAGTAAATCATGCTTCCATCATTCACCTCTTTGAATTCCTACAATCTTACTCTGGCAGAGTGATCTGCTTTGGAGGATCGTTCCTCCTCCATTTTGGCAATCTGAAGCCCAGTTCAAGTCAGAAGATTTCAACAATATTTTGCCACCATCGTATTTTTCAGGTCCATAACCTCAGCACGTTTGATATTCAGAAGCCATTCGTGCTATATAGAGTGAATCTAGTAAAAATTGCATTAGCAGAAAGACCATTCAGCCCATTAACATCAATCATACTCTCCTTTTTGTTATTAAACGCTGCCTTCATGCTTACAGCATGCTCTGCCAGTTGCGTACAGGGAACGCAAATACTTTCCTCATTCTCATCCATTGCTTCCACTTGGCAACGACCAAGCAGTTCTTTGAAGGGTTTCAGGGTTTATTCCACAACTTACTGCAGAATTTCAGATAATCTAGCAGATGGCATTGTCATCGTTTTTCCATCCCCACAGAATGAAAATGAACAAGCACGTGGTATTTCCAATACGTCTCCATTGAATGCAGGATTTTTTTAGACACCATGAACCAGTGTTATCTGCTTTGGTTTAGGGAGAGAGGTGGAAATGTGAAATGTATCCTAACTATCTACTGTCCTACATTAATTCTATGGAGAATAGATGGGTAACCACATAATCAGCATGCTTGTGTTTTGTACTGTGAGCTCTGCCCACTGCAAAGCAGGAACAATTTCAGCAGAAGAGCATAAGAGCACAGAATTTTCATTAGAGAAATTAGCTGGAGCTGCTGAAGTACCTTGAAATCGGTTCACATTTACAAACGCACAGCAGATGTATCCTTTGGCAGAAGATTTCTGCAGTCAGTAATTTGCCATTCATCAGGGATTGCCTCTGAAATCTGTGATCCAAGCTAGGGTGCGGATGACATGGGAGGATAAATTTAGACGTGGCTGAAAACAATTATTTTGAGTAAGCCTCTAGCCAATGAGAGTAAGATTCCTTCTCCTATTCCTCTCCTCCCCCCTCATTCACCTCTTCCAGAGAAGAAGGAGGAGACTTTGTAGGCATAACTTAACCTGTTTTGCACACAGGGGATGCTTTGATTTAGCTCTTGCTGCTGTAGGGTCTTCTCAGCATAGTAGGAAGTAGCTTTTGAATGTGGTATCTTCCTTCAGCATTAGCATCAGTTGAGCTTGTATTGCAAAAGGTGCTAGAAGGGAAACGCTGAGGTTTTCTTTAGCTCCAAAAGCAAAACTGGCTGTAAAAAGTTTGCTTCTCCCTGACCTGCCTTTCCACTGGGGGATAACCCTCAGGCTGGGTGAGCTGACTCTAATGAGAAACACTGCTTGCTTTCTTAGGTCTCTCTGAAATATCTAAGTGAACTTCCCAGCTGCGTGCTGTAGTGCGGTTTTCAGCAGCAGTTGGATGGCAACTGCTGGTGGTTGCTCTCAGCCCTGTGCCTAACTGGGAACCAGCAGAACAGCCTGAGCCGCCCCTCAGTCACTCCACCCTCGAACAGCTTTGATGTTTCCCACTTTTAGGACAACAGAGCTGTTTGTCCAATCCAGTGTGGAAGCATAGAAAAAGCAATGCCAACTGGTCTTTTCAAAACCTATCAACAAAAGCATCATTTAACCAATTAGAGCTGTTTTATTAGAAACAAAATGACATTAATCTTGGCTGACAAACTTGCCTCTACTAAGCTTCAGCTTGCTGTGGTTATAAACAGCTCCAATTAAAAAAAAAAAAAGAAAAGAGAGAGATAAAATAGCACTTGTTAGATGATTGATCCCTTCAGATGGTGTCTTTTGAGGTTTTTTTTTTAGTGATGTAGTTTATTTTGGGGCTGTGCCTCCTTGTGCATAAATTCAGCACTTCTGTAGCTGCATGCTGCAAGATATGGGTATCCCTAAAGTATCTTGCAACTCATTTCACACTTTTTGGTGTGGTTTTTTGGTGTTTTTTTTTTGGGGGGGGGGGGGGGGAAGGAGGAATTACTCCAATTTTTCTATGAAGTGACAGAAAGAAGCATGCTGTTCTTTGGCTGCATGGTGTGCTGGTGTTGCTTCTTGCGCTGTTCTCGTATTAAGGTGGACGAGGATGGAACTGAGTGTGAAGGGACATTAGAAAACCAAGCTGAAGAGTTGTAAGCAGCAATATTGTAAACTGCAATTGCAAAAATAAAATAGCAAGCGCTTTGGAAATAGGGAATTTTATCTTATTTACTCCGTGGTAATTGCTGGTACTTGAGTGCCATCAGCTGCGAGCCTGTGTGTGATTGACAGCACAATTCTAGCCAGAGCAGCCAAAAATAGCCCAGGATTTGAGTCATTTTTGTCTTTTTTACAATCTAATACTGTCACAAAAGCTAGCGTAGTGTGTAGAGAAATTGGACTCTCTTATAGATAGACTAGGGTAATGGGTCTAATTGGCCAATGCTGAGGGAAGGCATATTAAGAAAGCACTTAATGTCACTGACTTAAGCAGTTCTTGCCTGCAGTTAGGTAGAATGAGCTCCTTTTCAGTTTTTCGTTCATTAATATTTCTGCAATTAACTTTCATGCCTCAGTCCTTGCTGGAGTAAGGAGGCTGACAGAGGGAGGAAAGGGGGAGGAGCAGCAGCATTCAGAACCTCACTGCTCTCAGGAGGAACCTCAATAAGCAGAGAACTGCAATTCTTAGTAAACTTTCTGATCGAAATCCTGTGCTGGTGGGCCAAACGAGTTTGGAATAGTTTGAAATTGCTGCTTATGCATCAGTAGATGCTGGTTTAATCTGTAGCTCTGGAGTCGCTGCCTGTCACTTATGGTGCTGCCAACGTGCTTGTTGAGACAGGAAGGAGAAAGCACTTCTTCAATACAGAATGCAGAAGGAAGCCATACTTTCCTGAAAATCTCCAACTTTCATTTCAAGCCTCTTTCTTGGAGAACTGTGGTGGTGTTTCCAAAGCCCTGTTAGCTGCTCAGGGCTACATCAGTGGTGCAGATCTGCAGCATCAGAACGTTTGTGACTGTTTAGTACTAATTGCAATTTTCATTTGGTGCTTTTAGGTGGCACTGTGTCTGTGGCAGACACGTTAGCAGCAAAATAACTGGGCAACACGGTAGGTCTGCTTGTGAACGTAGCTTTAATTGGATTTAGCTTATTTTGCTCCCAAAGTGAATTCGGGTAAATCAAATTAAGGTTAATTTGGTGTAAGGGTGTGGGCAGGCATCGTCATTAAGGGCTCCTTGGAGCACCTGAGAACACAAGTGCCCAGCTGCTCCTCAGCACCCTTCTGCCCTCACTGTGCTTTTGCTGTGCTCACAGAACGGGGTGCTTGCTGGGCTCGCACTGTGCTAGGTCATTTCAGATGAATTTTCTCACCTCAATTAGCAGTTCAGTCTGTTGGCTGATTGCATTGACGTGCATGGGAGACGTGGTCACGGTGCACTTTGCTGACCCTGCACTGGGGAGCACAGCCTTCATGTGATGCTGTAACAAGTAGCTGGGAAACAGTTACACCAGAAACAGCTCCAGCTCTTTGTAAATGAGTACCTGCCATACCCCTAGAATGAACGCTCACAGGGCGCCTTGGGGAGGCCCTTAGGGTCCTTAGTAAAGGATCATAATTGTTGAGAAGCAACACTCTTATGTATACTGGAAATTAATTCTGATTTTGAGACTAGCTTCCTAATTTACAGGAGGAATGTCGTGGCAGCAGAATAGAGATAGAAATAGCAAACCAGCTAACAGTTACAGCAGCAGCTACTGCATCTTTGGATAAAGAATGGAGATCCCATAAACTATAATCTCACAACTCTAGCTTGGGGTTGTTTGCTAAAGAATAGGTCCCAAAGGAGAGGGATTTGCATCCTGAATAACCAAGTATCAATGTTAAAGTAGAGAAAAGAAATGAGTTCAGCAAAATGTAACATCATCTGTGAATGAGGCATGTGAGATGAAGCAGAAAATAATGGAGAATTTTGACACTTCTGTCATGATTGTTTTGAAAGTGTTTCACTGATTAAAAAAAAAAAATTAACGCTGAATCTTAAAGAATGTAAAATAAATTTGATCAAACTACATTCAGCTGTGACCACCTGGTCTTCCATTTAAGCAGCAGTATGAGACTAAATGAAGGTAACAGCTCTCCAAGAAAATCTGGGGTGTTCCAGAAAGTGTCCCTGATATAATGACCCACCTTCTATGGCTTCTGCTTCCTCCCTAATAAATACTCACTAGATATTAATTGCCCCTCTCCTGTGCTGACAACGCGTTTAATTCATCTGGGATAATGAATACAGTTCCAGTAATCCAAATTAAATTCATTTTCTTATTTTTTTTATTTTTATTTTTTACAGGAAATCTCTTATCTGCCAGTTGTTGACAGGTTGCCTGGACCAGACAGTGTGAGAGATGAAGAGCTGCTGCTGACAGTTTGGCTGTGGAGTTGTGGCCAGGTACCCGCAGATGAGAGCAGTGGGTGCATGCATAGCACTGCACTGAGAGCAGCTGCCTTCTACCATGCCCTCATGACATGGCTTCTGTCCCTGGTGAGTACATGCAGTGACAGTGCACAACAGAAGCTTCTGCGTGACAAAGGACGTGCTTTTCCCTCCAGTGAAAAGGTTCTTGAAATTACCTTTTTCCAACAGCTGCAGAACAGCTCAGCAAAGGGGAGGTGATGTCCTAACTTGCCCTAAAATAAGTAAACCAAGTTCCAGCTGGATCACACCTGTATTTTACAAAGAGCATGGTGCCACAAGTAAAATTAAAAAGAAATGTTTTCATTTTTTGTTTTTTTTTTTTATAGTGGTGAGCTAAATTAAAAATAATCAGAAGCAACCAGTGAAAGCAGAGGACTAGTTATTGTCCTCATCCAAACAGTCATTTCTTTTGCTTTCCTCACAACTTCTCGTTAAGAACAGATCCTTTCTGAAAGTGAAGGGAGCTGTAAGTAAGCGATGGTCTGTTTCATCTTAATTGTCCTTTGGTTCACACCTTTTTCTCTTCCAAAGAAAACCCCTTTTCCTCACTTCTATTAATCTGTTGTTACTCTTTTCTTCTAGGGGAAGAAATAAAACAAACCTTTTTCTTTTCCTTCCCCCACCCCTCCTGGGTTGTTGGCCTCATTCTTTTCCCTGCTTAAAGACACTGATGTATCAATTCATGCACTCAAGGTAAATTTCACCCTGAGTGGACAGCACGCACATGGCTTTTAAGTCACTTAAACTCCACTTAAACACTATTAATTGTTAATGATGTTCAAGCTTCCATTAAAACTTTGCTAACATTCTGTAATGTTAGTTCAGTACTAACGAAAATTGCCACTTGAGCAGCCCCAGAGTCTGAATCTTCCATTCAGAAAACAGTTAGCTCATGAGCAGCTGAAGTGTGAGCTTTCTTCCCTTTACTCCCACATAAAAATCCTGAGCTCTGATTTGCAGCAGCTCTCTCCAAGCATGAAAGGGTATCTCAGCCTCCAGGGCTCAGTGTTGCTTGCTGGGACTGTAGGGTCAAATGTTGTGATGGACTTTGTGCCTCATACAAACTGGGATAAAAGCCACAAATTGATTTCATAGAATTGTAGCATATCCTGAGGTTCCCAAACAGCTGTTGGATAGCGGTGAGAAAGAATCTGCTTTTCTTCATTGAAAGAGAAGTTCAAGCATTTTAGACCCAATTCTTACCTGCGTCTGTGTAATCCCACTGTCTTGCTGGTTTCCTGGCACGTATAAATCAACATATCTGTATTGATTTTCTTGAAGATATGTTGATTTCTAACAGTGGAGAACATAGTCTTCCAAACATGAACATTCCCCTGTAGCAGAATTGCTATGGAAGTTCCTTTGCAAAACCACTGTTGAAAGCAGTCAAGGATTTGGTAGTGCTATTATGGGTGATGCCACTGACCCATACAGCACTTTGAAAATGCACTCCTGCCCTGTGCTAAGAACATATTTTTAAAGGCACTCATCTCACTGTAAGTAGCTTTGTTTTATGTATGCAGTAAATACAAAGCTGTTAATTAATCTAGAGATCATAGCAATGGTATAAACCATGACAAGGCTCAAGTGCTTTCTGTGTTCACCAGAACCCTGGCAAAGAATTGCAATCCTTTAATGCAGACTTCATCTAGCACATGATGTGGGTGAGGGGTCTTTGTCTTATGTGGCTGCTTCTCTTGCTAGGCTGCTTTGATTGCCTGTGTGTAATGTTCACATACTTCTTTGCACTCTTTCTCCTGCTACCCAGGTCTTGGGATGCTTTGCAGCACTATGATGCCTCCCCAGGCTGTCTCATTCATCTTTTCTGTCTCTTTTTCAGCCCAGTTTCTGATGTATTCTGCTCTACTTTGGGCAGCGTTATGAGCCAATCAGTTTTCTATTCTCCTGAAGCCTTGTGTTTGGTGCTAAACTGGTATCTTTAGAAGGTGGTGGGATTGGCAGAGGTCCCTTTTGGGTCTAAAACGAGGGGATAGATATGTGTATTGGTAGATAGAATGCCTCTCACAGAGGAGTACAGGTGAGAAAATCCATCAAAAAGGAATTGCCTCAAGTCTATCTACAATGTGGTTTCACTGGATTGGGACTGATAAGGCTTTGACCATTAGTAATCACTTATATGAGCGATGAAGTCTTATTCTAAAGCCTGTACTAGCTCCTCAGAATGATGTAATCAATTAGCATTGATTTTCTTGAATTAAGTTTGTATTATCTCATTACAGTTAATAAAGGCAGCACACAGCACCACTGTGACATGAATGGGCAGTGTTGACAGGAACTCTGTTCTCAGTTCTTGCTTCACTTGGGAGGAAATGTAGGTTCTTCCTTTCACGTAGTGAAACTGGTGGAAGTTAGAGTGTGCAAGTTATGGGAGTCCTTGCTGACAAAATAAATCCTCTGACTTACCAAAGCCTACATGTTATTCCTATTTAATTTGTTGTTATTGATTTTTCTATTGGCTAAGCCTCAGCCTAATCCACTAATCAAGTGAGAGTGTTCCCCGGATTATTATACGTTATGTGGCTCTACTTAAAAGCAACAGAGCAAGATAAGGGGGTTATCTTCAGCCTCTAAGTACAGCCATCTGTAAAAATGAAATTCTGTTCTAATGGATTTACAGGTACCTCCAGTGAAAATGAAAGGTGGACCCAAGGCTCCATTTCAGGCAGTATGTCTGCAGCAGACCTGGCAAGAGGACGGATTGGCCCTGTCTGCTTGTGTAATGCCAACAGATGAATCTCCAACCCAGGACTTGATGCTGATTAAAGAAAGGTTAAAGAAGATTAAAGTAAGGAGCATTTAAATGTGCAAGTTGTGCAGAACTGCCATAGGGTGTTACCACTACCTTTCACTAAGAACCAGGCTTGAGTATGCCAATTTAAGCTCAAATCTCAGTGAGCCAGGATAGAAAAGTGTAAGTGCTGCTCTAAATTAGAATGAAGCCCAGTACTGTGGGAACTGAAGGACTGCTTGCAGCTAATTGCCAGCTCAAGCTGCCCTCGGTTATGTTGTGCAGATGAGAAACCAACTCTATATAGCAGTCTTTTGTTTCTGCTGCTCATTAACTGTTAATGTGTTTTTTGGTGGCTGTAACCTCATGGTGCAGAGATTTGCCTGGGTCCAGAGGAGACCTATCTTTGACATGTATTATGTTTTGTGCTGTTATTTTTTAACCACGTGAAGAATGTGAATTATGAGAGGGAATACTGTCTTGCTATTCAAACTCCCAAGAGACAGGACCCAGAGAAAGGACCTGAGATCCTGTTCCTTCTGTCCTGCTAGACTACAGAGTCTGTCTTGCACAACGAAACAAGCTGAAAGGTCTAGCACAAGCTGAAATCTAGCCTGTGTAGGTGACACGTTGTAACATAAGGCACCATATGAGCTTGTGTCCTGAAAACAGGGAAGATATGATATAGCAACTCTGGGCCATAATTTGTTGGTTCTGTTTCTTGACACCTGATTTGGACAAGAATGATTCTCTGAGCACCTTGATGCATCTGTTTTGTTTTCCTCTTGTAAATACTGCTTGTTAGGTGCTGCCCTGAGACCTTCTGTGGCCTTGCTAATCCTGCCTGGTGCAGACACCTACACCTATGTTGTATTGATGGAAGATATATCAGGTGCATTGGGTGAACAGTGATCTTTGCATACCTGTGATCTCCCACAAGTCACTTGCATGAATAATGTTCCTGTTATTGAATAGACTTACCTGAGATGCTTGCCATGTGCTTTGTTGGGTATGCAAGCATCTCCCAGCTCACTCAAAGCAACCCTTGTAACTTTGGCAAACTGGGGCTGGGTTTTCTATTCCTACCCAACATAATTCTTAAGTAGAAGAAGAGGTATGAACATGTTTTAAAAACATGCTTAAGCTTTCCTTGTTCAGCTGCAGCAAGCATTCTTTGCTTGCAACTGCCTGCCTACGAGCAGTACAGATTGAATTTCCCATGATGTATCATAAAGTATGACAGCTGTGGCTCCAGTGTCACACAAGTGAATGATTGATGCTGCCAACGAATGTCGTGATTAAAATACTACTGGAAAAAAACCAACCCCAAAACAATAAGCAACTTTTCTGTCATTGTTCATCCATCTCTTGGCAAAAGCCCCAGGGCTAATGAGAGAGAGCACCCTGCTGGACTGGGCGAGGGCTTGATGTTGGTTGCTGTCGAAGGTGACCGAGTTCAAGCAGCATTCTGTGAAACAAAGAAAATGGAGGAACAGAGACTGACCTGCCTTCAGTCTGTTTGCCTTCTTGCTCTCTAATTTCAAGAGGGGAGTTGGCCAAGGCATCAGAGTTGTTGAGCACTGAGTGTGCTCAATGTATCCAGTGTCAAGAAATTGAATGACCTGAAGCTGCAAGCTCAGGTTGCACTGAAGGTTTGGTTGGAGCTGGGCAGGGTTGTATCACTGGTTGGCAGAATGAGCCATTCGAGTTTCCAGTCCTTGTATAAATTGTAAATGCTGTTTTACTGCCCTGTTTACAGCCATGGACAGTGCTGTTGAGTTCAGCTGGTATGGGGGAGAGGTGAACGTGCCACTCATTCCAATGGTGTTGCTCGAAGCAAGAGTGTGTAACGGAGGTTTTCTCTCATTAGAAGCTCTACTGGATGTCGTTGTGATAACAATGGCTTTTGTCAGTTTTGCTTTCTTGAGGCATTTGTAAAGCTGCTGCTCTTTCCCCAACAGAGATTTAAGTTGATAGGAACAACAGAAGTCCTTCAGAAATGTCAGCCACAGCAGAGACAAACAGAAAACAACAGCAGCTCATTCCGTCTCCCCATGAGCTGTTGTTGGAGAGAAACATGGCAGGCTTTACTTTCCTCACACAGGTCTTCAGTCCCGTGCTGTAGAGTTAATGTAGAATGTTTTAATGGTTGAACTGGCTAACAAAATTCTTCTGTTGTGACACTTACTGGTTCTTGTTGTCTCTTACGGCACAGTGAGAACCAGTTACTTGCTTTACCTTCAAAATATGAATAGTCAGGAAAAATAACTGTTCCTAAGCATTCTTGATACATCTACTGACTAAAAGAATGCTGGAAGGTTCCCGTTGTTTTCTAGATTATGATGAAGACACGTCAAGTAATGTCAATTTTAACTGATAGCATTATGACAAATTGATGTTCTAATGTTTGCAATGTGCAGAGTCCATATTCAGTGCTGAAGATGGACACTCACAGACTGCACACAACACATTAGATGCAGATACTAGGAAAGAAGTGTCCAACTTTGTTTCTCTGTATCTCGCTGACAGCAGCAAAATGACAGTTGTCCATAGATTTTCTTCAGAATGCAATGTGAATGTGATTTTTACAGCAGACACTGGGTTGCTGGTCTACAAGCCTGAGGAGCTGATTGTATTGGGAGGGCAAGTTTTCACTTTCTGCAGCTTTCCTCACTGATAATGCCTAAGCCTGATGTGGCTGAACATCCTGAGTGCATCTTTCACACGAATTTACCACTGGTTTCTCAGGGAAAAAGCTGTCTAAAGATCAGCTTTTGGCTTATTCGGTTACAATGGCATCCATTCCTTTATTGAGGGTTTCTGCAAGGTTTTATTCAGCATACATCATTCTGGATGGTGTGTTTGTTTGCCTTGTTTTTATTTATTTAGTCTTCCTTCCAAACAACTGATGACATTGAGGCACATTAGAATATTCCTGCGTGTTTTTGGTTTCTTGGGTTGTTAGAACAAATGCTTATGCACTCGCCTCTTGTGATTTCTGCATGCACATTGAGTTGTGTTTACAGGCACGTGTGATGGGAATTGGATTTGTACAGAGAATGCTTTCTAAGAATCTGCTCAGCATTCCCAATGAGGCACGTTAACACATGGTGCTGCTCTGCACACGTGGATCGTTTGATGGCTCGGGTGGTTTGGAAGAGCTCATGATCTCCATTGCTGGATCTGGGGGCTTTTTTGCAGACCTTCACTGCCTGAGCTCTCCTTTCTGGCTGCTGTAATAGATGAGGTAGAAAAAATGCTTTGCATAATTGCTGCTTCTGTTCATTTCTGACTGGGCCTCATTGAGGTCACAAATTTTGTTCTAATTAGGAACCAACTTGCAAGAACAAAGGGCTTAGAGGGGAGGTTAAATGATGGAAGAATGTAACAAAGCCACACAGTTTTCAATATTAATGCTATTATCAATCTTGAAAATATTTATTAATTTCAGGATTTTTAGTTTTTATCCTTATGAAACCCTTTGCAAATCAATGTTTTGTTGTGTTTGACTGCTTTATAGTCCTGTTTATGACATTTTCTCCCTCTTCAATATGGTATATAAAGTGATTCAGAATAATACTGGTGGGCCGACAGATGTCACAAGCCTGTTATTTTGTACCAGTGTCTTACTATGAACTCTCCCATCATCATCTATGATGGAGTTTTGTAGCTGAGCAGTCTGAGTGTATCAAGGACTCTGATTAGCAGTGCTGCTAACCATCCTCTGCCCTTCACCAGAGGGGTCTTAGAGACAAGTCTGTATGGGAGCACGTCCCCAGATTGATGGGGGAGCCTTTCCATGCAGGCATGACTGACTGGTGTGGACAGCATTTGCTCTCAAGCTCCATCACCGGTGTCAGAAACCCAAGCAGTGTCAGGCCTTCAGTTCTGTCTCTGGACCTGGAAGTGGAAACTTTTATAGTTTTGCAGCAGAACTGGGGGAGGAGTGCATTTTCTGTGGGTAAGGGGCCAACTTTAGAAGCTCTGGGTGTGGGGATGGAGGTTGTGATGGTTTGGGAGGCTACAAGTTAAATGAAGATTTGGGTTTGGAGGCATTGAAATGCAGTTGTGTGGTAAATGCACGAGGTTGGGATTGTTGCAGACAGAAAGAGCTGCTGCAGGTACATGGTGCAGCACAGAGCAGGAAGCCTCTGCTGCCATCACTGATGCATTTTAATTGGTGATTCTTTGCAGACTAAAGAAGATCTCCAAGAAATGTCCATTTCTTACCAGAGGATTTCTGAATTTCTATCCCTTATATGGCTTCCAGATGTTACCTGGTGGAGAGCAGGACTGTGCAGTTGCTTCCAAAGCCACCTATATCCACTTCTTCCTGAAATTCCCTCTGCCCTGCTCAGTTACATCCCTACTGTTAATCCTGATCCTCAGGTACTGTATACAAATGCTTGGACTTGATATTTTTTTTCCTTCCTGTGTCCAGTAGAATTCATCCTCCTGCATTACAGATACTTTTGTTTGGTTTAGCTGAGGGCTGAGACCTCTTTGAAAGTAAATGCTTGTAAGCAGTGTTGATTTTTTGCACGGATGTGTATGAGATTACAAGGAGACAGCACTGCCTGAGATCAAGTGGTTAAAATCGCTTGCCTAGAAGTGCCTGGAAGAACATTCACCACCTCACGCTATTCAGAAGTCGAATGATCAACTTTTCACTTCTGTGAGCTTAGCAAGTGCTCCATAAGAGGCATTCAAAGGAGTGAACCCTTCCAGTGATTCATGTGCTTTGTGCTAATTGGAGGAGCTAATTCCTCACCAGATATCAAACGCTGCTATTAGGCCTCTATCCTACATAGTTCAAATATTTGCACTAGGTTTTCAAAGAATCTGTGAACACTACCTGATTTCTATGCCTTTTGAGGAATTGTTCTACTTGCCCATGACATCATCAGCACTGAGTTCATGATTTTTTCCCAGTGTTCCTAAATCCTGAAAAAATCAGGAGATACAATTCTAGGTAATGGTAAAGACTGCAATTCTGGTTCACAACAAAGTTTAGTTCTGAAAATAATGTAGCACAACAACTTTCCAGTAATCCCCCAACCTGATTGAGATTGCTATTACAATGTGAGAATCAATGCCATAAAGCTTAGGAGCTTAGCAGTGCACTTAGCAATTTGCCTAAAGGTTTATCCCACTTCTGTGAAGGGAGAGGAAGCTTAATATTGTTGATTTGCAGTCACTGTAGCTTTCAAGTACAGGCAAGTGCAATAAAGCGAGCTGACGTTCTTGTAAAAGATAAATCTGCTGTATACTTGTAAAGCATCATTGAAAACTGGGCTTTTATGCAAATCCCCTATTAGGGGAATTATAAATCATTAGGAGTTGAACAGCGAGATAGCTGGCACTTTCTGGAGGTGGATCTTTGCCTTGATGCCATTGAAAGTGGAAGTCAATTTAAAGGCCACGTTCTCTTCCTATGCTCAAACCCTCCGTGCCACCCGGGTTTCCAGAGTGGTGTTACACTGTGACCACTCTGTATCACAGCTGCTTAATAGATGTCTTGCAGTTAAATAGGAAGGCTGCCTTCTCTGAGCAAGGCGCAATGAGCCGGATTGTCAGCAGGCAGCAGCTAACCCTGATGTCTGCCCTGAAGCTTCACAAAGTGCTACCAGCTGAGAATGTTCCCCAGCCTCATTAAAATACCACCAGTGTGAGTTCTGTACTGAAAATTCAGGATCGTATTTTTAACTTCATTGCTTTGAAGACTTTGTTCAAGGCCTGTGATTATAGGTTTTCATTTTTCTTTATTTATTTTGGGGTGATGTATACAAACCTGAATTGATCAAGGACTCAGTACTGGCTGTTGGAAAAGCAAGCAGTGAATGCCCAGCTTGCTTCGTGTGAAGCACAAGTCCTGAGGAGCGGAGGAAACAAATGGGTAAGGGAGGAGGGAAGAGGAACACCAGGTAGAACTGCTGTCTGCTTGTGTACTGACTAACTGTGTGTGGCTTTACAAGCAATTGGTAGTAGTAATTGCAATTACATTTAAGCACTTTGTTGGACTGTAAGCCAAGGTCTTGCTCTTAGCCGATTGTTCTAGTGTTTTCTCTTCAGTCCGTTCTGAACTTGGAACAGGTTGCTTTCTTTCTTGCTGTCTTTCTTTCAGGCTTTCTTATTAATACAGGATATACAGCCTATCAACCTGCACTAATTGACTTTAGATATGGAGAGTAAACTCACAGAGCATGAAAACCCCGGGTTAGGAATGACATCATCCTCATAGATGACGTTAACTGTGACATTCCTTGTCAGCAAAAGGAGAACTGTGCCAAAATGACATAGAGATACTTCTTGTTAAGCCTTAGAATGCAAACCTTAACCTTGTGGACACAGGAGATGCATGGCCAGCACTGGTGTTCGTGTGCCTCTTCTCATTTGTTTCAATACTGTGTGCTAGGTTCTGTTGTACTCTTCACAGTGTTCTGGACCCTGGGACTCTTGCCCAGGGTGCAGCCCTAACTCCCCCCAGCAGCATATATATGTATGTGTATATATATATATGTGTATCTAAGCTCCAGAGAAATGCTTTTGTTGTACTTCCTGGGGATTAGTTTCCTATGTGCTCCTTCTTCAGTTAGTTTCCCTCCTGACTTCCAGCACAAGGGTTGTTTCATCTTCTTTTTTAGACAGTAGTGCCAGTTAAAGGCAGGTCTACACAAAGTTCCCTCTTTGCTTTTCACTGAAGCAAAACTCTGTTGTTGTTGTTGTTATTATTATTATTATTATTATTATTATTATTTTAAGCAGTTTTGGCTAAGCATGGATAAGAATTCCAGAACTGGATCCAGGACACCAAATTTGCCTTGATGTTGCAACTCAATGCTGTGAAAATCTTTACATGGCAGAGGCTGAACTAACAGGAAGTTTGATGTGTGGGTGAGGGCTTCCAAAATGTGCAGCAGCTCTTTCATATGGTATTTCTGTAACACAGATGCAAACTTAGGGGATTTTCCTGCTGGCTGGCAAGTAGGTGGCACCTGTGTGTTACCAGAAGATCTCTACGTGTAGATCCACGCAAGACTGAAACAGCAACGTTGTTCTGCTACGTGGTTGATGAGATTACAAATCACTTCATGCTATGGCATGGGTTCATCGCTTGTTCCTTTGTGCATTTACGGCACCTAATGTGGACATGGGTGTGTTAGTCTTTGAAGACAGAGTGAAGGGCATTTCAAAACGGTATTCCAGATCCACTGATGGTGACAGTGTGCACAAGGTGACCTTTCCAGTTCAGGCACTCAAGTTAAATCCTTGTCTGGGATGTTCCAGCTCTCTAAATTGCATGGAAAGAGGAAAGCTGCTCGATGTGAAACTTCAGTGCCAGCAACAAATCTCCCAGGAGATGCAGCAGAAACAATGCTTGTGCAACATTCAAAGCAAGAGTGGAAAACAATCTGACAAACTGAGATGCCTCAACAGAATAACCCGGGTCATGCAAAGAAACTTTCTGGGTTCTTTACTTTTGCCTGGAAATGAGGATTCCAAACCAAACCTTTCCACTGGTTCCAGAACCTTCTAGAGGAGAAGCTGGAGGGGAAAAAAAGACATAGAAAGGATTACTTTCACCTGTCATGTTTCCTTCTGCTCCTCTCCATACAATACATCCTGTAGGAAATGTACACCTGTTATTTTGTATTTTACACTGAGCCTGACAAGAAGACCCTGAGCTGTACAGTTTGGATACTGTGATATTGTTTCTGTGCTGAGCATCGTGGCTGCTGAGCGTGATGCCAAAGCTTCAAGGACTTGATCACAGAGCTGCTGAACAGAGCGTTAGAGTGCTGGATAGGTGCATGAGGGAGGCAAAGGACCCAGAACAACACCTCCACATCTGTTTGCCCAAATGAAAGAGTCACTGGGGTGTTGAGACTTGCATCGTGGTATGCATTGGCCCCTATGACCTACAGCTCATCCAGGGTGAAGTGGTAAAACAGATCTGTTCATCTTGTCCTTTGTTTTCCAAACTTTGCTTGTGTCTCATCTTGACCTGAGTTGGCGTAAGGGTCCGGCTTTTGTCTAAAGCACCTTGAATCTGCTGTGCAGCCTGATAAAGTCATCTCGATAGCTTTGGTGAGAGCACTTACGTACATTTCGCACGTCATTTGGCTGATGAGTCCATGTGGAGATGAGTCACCTGTGGGTGAGACATCCTGGGGCCTCTTCTATATGCATTTATATAATTGAATCCCGAGCTACACAGCTGTATCTCAGAGGCTTCACGAGGCAGAAGTGGGGAAGTTGACATCCTGCTGCTAGCTGAGCCCTGATAGTTTGTCATTGGTATTTGTAAGTAGAAAGCCTTCACCTTTTGGATGGAGGAAGGGCTACACTGATGTCTCTCTGAGTTGATATAGCGTGGAAGACATAGCTTGGGGAAGAATAAACCATTGTAGTTGTTCACTTTTCCTGAAATTTGGAAGTTCACATTTAAATTGTGGCCACTGTCAATTATTGCAGAGGACAGCAGTTTAAAAGAACCATCAAACTAATGTGCTTAGCCATTACTACTGTGTGTGATGGGCAGAAGAGCTGGAAATGAGTCTCATCCTTTTCTGTGTTTAAGACATCTTTGTTTATTCAAAAGGGAGGTAAGAGGAAGTGGAATGCATCTTCACACTGTCTGCAATGCAGTCACCAGCACTGCACGTTTTCAGTGACAAGTTCCTTAATTAGCCCTCTCTGTCCTCAGCCTTTCTGCTGCCTGGCACATTCCTGCTGTTCTTGCCTGTTTCCTGTACTGGATCTGGAGCAATCTGAAGTGAGCATGCGGAATGGGAAAGGAAAGGTGTGAAGAAAACAAACTTTGTGTTAATCTGGGTTGCACAAGGAATACTGCACTGATGCATTTGGATTCGAGACAGTGGAGAGAGCAGAAGGTTTGAGGATCATTGAATTGAAGAATGGCTTGGGTTGGAAGGGACCTCAAGGATCATCAAGCTCCAACCCCCCTGCTGCATGCAGGGCCACCAACCTCCACATTTCATACCAGACCAGCTGCCCAGGGCCCCATCCAACCTGGCCTTGAACACCTCCAGGGATGGACGGGGCATCCACAGCCTCTCTGGGCAGCTGTTCCAGCACCTCACCACTCTCTTGGTACAATAGGATAATGCAGTCTCACTCAAGTGTATGATGTAGAGCATCACATCAAAGTAAGCCTTGCCTGCGCGTTAGTGCTTTGTCTGCTCTGTGGTTGGTGGAGCTGAAAGGAGATGTTATATATGTACAGGATTCACAGTCTGACTTTGGAGGTAGTGGAGGATGCAGCATCGTTCTGAGAGGGCTTTGGGTGCTGCCTCAGTCAGGGCAGCTGAGCAAGTCTTTGTATTGGAAAGCACTTTGTGTGCAAGGAGATGAGATGGTGGAGTACA